GAACCACAGAAAGACTCCAGAGATGCAAAGGTTCATGCTAATGCAAACCTATAAAAGGATACTGAATACATCACATTAGGTTTAAGTTTTAGACAGTAAGTGGTTTGGCTGAAGTTAGTATAATTAAGATGTAGTCACATATTTTACTTCAGTGAAGGTGCAGACTAGTTATTAGGAATTGAAAGATTCAATTCATGTTTGTAAGGGACATTTTATCCCATGTCTACCCACTGAAAGGTTGCTTTCCATGTCCTGTCAAAAGTGTGATGGTGGCTTCTGTGATAAGACATCTGACTAACTACTGTGCTTTTTTCCAGAGATCCCACATGTGTTTTCTCCCACTGGGTATATTCACCCTCTGCCACACAGCATCAGGGAGGTTTCCCTTTTCATTTGCTCCAGCCCTGGCTTGGCACACATCCATTTCAGCTCTGCCAAAAATCACTCTTGAATTGGAAATCTAGGCTCTTTGAATTGTCTGTCCCATTTAGTGACTAGCCTTTGCTTCTTTGGATATTCATGTCTTTTTTTGAAGTCTTCTTTCAATTTCTGGGCTGCCTATGAGAATTTTATTTTATCTTCCAACCTGTATGCCAGGCTTTCATGCTGTCTCAGAAAGGATCTGTGGCAGGAAGGCACAACCATGATCTCTCTTTTGAGCCTCAGATGAGCAATAAGCACAAATTTCAAAGCTTCCTGCTGTAGTTACAGAATCACAGAACCATTTGTCTTGAAAGGGAGCTTAGGTGGTCTCTATACCCACCTCCTGTGCAGGTCTGTCTCCAAGGATGGAGATTTCACCACCTCTCTGGGCAACCTGTTCCTGTTCTTCACTGCTCCCATGGCAAAATTTTTTCTTTATATGCAATCAGAACCTCCCCAGTGTAGTTAGTGATGCCTGGCTCTATTTTCTCAGTAATCTTGTAAGTATTGAAGGCTTCTATCAGTTCGCCCTGAAGCTGTCTCTTCTCCAGGCTGATCAAAGCCATCTCCCCCAGCTTCCCCTCACAGGGCAAGTGCTGCAGCCTCCTGAGCATCCTGGTGGCCTCCACTGGACTCACTTAAGTTTATCACCATCTTTCTTGCACTGGGAGGTGCAAAACTGGATGCAGTATTCCAGCTGTTGTTTAATGATTGCTGAGTAAAGGAGAAAAATCGCTTCCCTTGATCTAGTGGCTATCTTCCTGTTGTTCCAGACCAGGATATTGCTAGTTTTCATCCCTGCCAGGGCATGCTGCTGGGTCATATTTATTTTGTTGTCCACCAAGACCCCGGGGTCTATGCAGAAGGGCTGCTCTCTGTCAGCTTTCTTTTCCAGTTCCCTACTGCAGCTTGGCACGGGATCATTCTCCAGGCTAAAGAACGGAAACACTGAGCTTGCCACTGGTCTCAGCACCAAAAGTTCTAAGAAGTCTTGCTGTTTGTGACTGTACTCTCTTTTTTGGTATTACCTTCCCATCATCATCCTGGCACCAGGAAATGGGATCTTAGGGGTCCCTGGCACAATGACAGAGTGTAGGAACACCTCTTCCCTCCCCAGTAAGTAGTGAGGACAGCAGACTGTGTTTCTTAGTGTGACTGACTGTCTTTCCTGGTATCTGGTAGCTAGACTTGTGGAGGTCACTTAGACCAAGCCCTGCTCAAAGTAGGCCAGTTGAATGAGGTTGCTCCAAGCCTTCTCCAGATGAGTTGGGAAAATCTCCAAGGCTACAGATCCCATGGCTTCACTGGCCCCTTCTTCCAGGGGTTGAATACTCTTCTAGGGAAAATAGGGCTCCTCTGATCTCCAGGGAGTGCCCATATTGCCATTTGTGTCCATTGCCTTTGGCGCTCTCCTTATGCACCTCCAAAGAGTCTGGCTCCATCTTCTCTGCGCCTTCCTGCAATATAGTTGAAGGGCAGCCAGAAGAGCTCACCTTTGCCTTCTTGCTCCCAGACTGAACAAATTGTTTTCTTTCTAGCTTTCCTCAGATTTGCTGTGCTTCCTCCCCCTCCTCATCTCAGTGGCTGCTGTTGGACTCACTCCATGGGGTTAACATCTGTCTTACTTGTCCTGGCCTGTACTGGAGAGCTCAGATTGGACATACTGCTGGGACATCTCCACAGCAACACTTTCTCTGTCCTGAGAGAAGTCTGAGAAAGTTTTTGGGGTGCCAGAAGTGTCCACAACTTCCACTGGGCTGGACATTAGAGCCAAAGCCTTCCTTGCAGTCTTTTGTTAAAGGCCTGGTGCTCTCTGCCATTTCTGAGCATTAGCATAAGCCACTGTTCTGGCTTGTGTGCAAGGACGCATCTGATTGCTCTTACTGGCTGGGTCTCCCTGGAACATTTGAGGATGACAACAAGCTTCTGTGAAGATGGTGGAAATTTCCCATCACACACATTCCTCAGAGGTTTCTTGGCCATTAACCAGCCTTTCTGGAGCTTGCCTTGGTGGTACCACAGCTCTTTTGTGGCATGTAGCTGAAGCATGTAGAGTGGTACTTCTGGGCACGGGAGGGAATGGATAGTCTCTGTGAACACCCGGGGCCCTTTCCAGTTCCTGCTGCTGCTCCAGGCAGGCTTAGGACTGAGGTCAATGCAGGTGGCCAGAGGCTGAGAGTTTGAACAGTATGGGGAGAGGGCTTATCCTCTTACCCATTCTGTTCCTTTTAGCAAATCATCAGGCACATATGAATTCAGCTTGCTGAAGATCTTCTCCCCTATGGTTAGAGGGGCAGCTCTGTGCCTTTTACTTAGCTTTGTCAGGTTTTCTTCAAGATGTGGCAGGGTAGACGGCTCATGGATTGTTCCTGCTTGGCCTGGCAGGTCTGACTCCAAGATCTGCTTCTTCTGCACACTAAGCACTGGCAATTTCTGCCATTTAATGCATCCTGAGATTCCAGCCAGGGGCTTTTCCCTGCTTTTACTACCAACTATTTCATAGCATGGGGAGTGAGTGGTTCACTCTAGGCAGTTCTTCTCAGCGTGAACACAACCTATTTTTCCCTTTCCTGCTCTCTCAGCCCCATTCCTTTAGTGATATCTGTTGAAGCTGTAGAGTGTGATGCTTTCTCTTACCGCTGTAGTTCATCTGGAGGCTAATGGACCCCACAGTCCTTAGGTTTCTGATAGGCTTGATTCCTCAGTGGGATAAATACTGTTGAGAAGGGTGCTCACGATCTTTCCCAGCAGGTCCCAGAATTTGTGCCTCTCCATCTTTGGCTTAGAAAGGTGTGATCCTCATGAGCCAAACAGTGGGAGACTTGGGCAGATGTGACTAATTTCCACAAACTATCTGCTTCAAAGAGCATTTCCCTTTTGCTTCAGGCTAAGTCCTAGAGAAATTATGACAAGCATAGTAATTTTCATTGAGCCAAAGGGTTAATTATCTGTTAGCATCCTAAATACTTGTGCTTCTAGTGTTAGTGTGAGAAAGACTCATTCATTTTACCTGCATAGGTCCAGCCCCTTTTGCAGGTTTCCTCTATTGTCTTCTTCCACCCCAGGAGGAGAGAGGATTTTTGTCTTCATGCAGCATCCTTCTAGAAGAACCCAGGGCTGCAGGTAGACCTGTTATGAGACAGCACACTCCCAGTGTTGAGTGACTTCAGTGCAGTGCTGCCCAGTCTCTCTGCTCAGGGCATCTGCCGTGTGGCCACCTGGGTGGGCTTCTGTGTACTTTGGCAAATGGGCTGTGTCATTTGCAAAGCATTCAGGACTGGTGCAGTTTTCTGTGGGAAAAACAGTACTATAGCTGCCATCTGACCGGGGGAGTTCTCAGTTCTTTTACCAGGTAGCACTGAGTAGATGACTACTTGGATCAGTCACTGCTATAACATTTTCTGGGACTCTTTGCTGAAGTTTATTTCAATTTGCTTGTTCCTACTCAAAGTTTGTTAGGAGGCAAGGTTTACAAGATCTGTGGTTTACTTCTTCCCCTTGGGAATAACTTTTTGTAATTGTGCTGACAGCTTGGCCAGGTGTAGGGGTTGCATTGTCAAGTTAAAACAAACTAATAGAACTGCTGGCTAAAGGTAGAGGGTAAAGAGGAGTCTTCAGACCCACAGAAAAGTAAAGATACTAATTTAAAGCACTGGCATTCAATAAAGCCAGGAGCATTCCTGTTCACTACCAAGGGGATAATAATACCAAGGGAATAGTAGTTATTGGTAAATTCCAAATTAGCTCCTTACTCAGGAATCTCACAAAGACCCATCCTGTGCCATTCAGGTTAAAATCTGGGACATCCCCAAGCACTTGCTAACAAGAAACATTACCAGTCCGAAGAAGGAACTTCTTGGGCACGTTCGAAGAGTGGGCCTCATTGAATGGCATCCCACTGCTAATAACATCCTCTTCAGCTCTGGCTATGACTACAAGGTGGGTCTGTTCTCTGTGGAGCTCCCCCCCGGGATACCACCCTGTTCGGCAGGGTGTTTTGCAATTTGTTTTAATTTCAAGCTGTAAGGTAATAGTAAAGAGTTCAGAAGCCTTCTTCAAGGGGGAAATGCCATGGTAACTCCAAAGGCAAAAGGACATTGCCACAAGTTCAAAAGGACTTGCTAATTTACCAGTCTTCTGATGAGCTTCAGTCTACTCTGCCCTTCTCCTTTACTGGATTGGATACAACATGCAATGCCATGCACTTTTGTTTGGCTTCATCTTGTGCTAGTGCAAATATCTGCACTGATGCTGGCCATTTTTATGTGTAAAATGTGGTTGCAAAGGAAATTAGAATATTGGACGTTCTGAGCAGACACCGTGTCCCTGATATGTTGCTGTAAGTACCAGGAAGTATTCTAAATGCTGGAGAGCAACCACACCACTTATGATGGTAAGACCTGTACATGTAGAGAAGAGAGGAAGAAGTGAATAGGGTACATAAAGTCCCCAGTTGGTCAGGCAGCAAAGGGCTGATTTTTTTGTTCTTTTGCTCCAGATAATGATCTGGAACCTTGACACCAAGGAGGCTGTCATCTCGAACCCGGTGAAGATCCTTGATGCTCACAAAGATGTGGTCCTCTCCATGTCGTTCAACACAGATGGCAGTCTCCTTGCCACAGCCTGCAGGGACAGAAAGATACGTCTGATAGACCCTCGTTCAGGAACAGTCCTACAAGTAGGTTGGGTTCAGAAGTTTGTGGTCCAGCTGATCTCACCCCTTGGAGTGTTTCCTCTTCTGTGTAGATTCGTTGCCATTAAAGAAGATGTATCTGTGCCTTACATTGCCCAAGGCACCAGATGGTGCTATTGCCTTCTACTTTTCATGGAACACTTGTTGTCATTGTTGAAAACAGGGTTTCCGCATCTTGCTACCATGCTCCTTGGTTGCTGAAACCCTTCTTGAAGTGCACTGTTTTCATAGCTACCTCCTGCAGTCCTCTGTGGGACACCTTGGGAGGGCTTGTAGAGATAAGGTGGACAGGTGGATCCAAGTATACAGTTGTCCCACTGCCAGGGTTGTTCTTGTTGCCTGTACTTTGTATCTGTTGGTAAGGTGAAGCTGACTGTGTTTCGTAGGTATTTACAGAGACCTGTGTACACAGAAAGTCCTGCCTACAGCTAATACGGGATTGCCCTCTTGCAAATATGTGAGTCGATAGTTAGAGAGATTGATTGGGCTTTTGGGAATGGTCCTGAAGAGTTTAGGCCACCTTTCTTGGATCCCCATGAAATCCTGCTCACTGTAGTTCAGCCAGGCTGAATGGATCTTTCAGATGTGACTGAATCAGAGGTCTCATGTAACGTGAAATGTAGCTATGCAACAGGTGCTTTCTCTTACTCACGCAGTGTCCTTTCTCTTCCTATAGGAAGCCAGCTACAAGTCTCACAGAGTCAATAAAGTCTTGTTCCTTGGAAACATGAAAAAGCTGTTCTCTACTGGAACATCTCGGTGGAATAATAGGCAAATTGCATTATGGGATCAAGTGAGTTGCACCAGCAATCTTAACCATACCAGCTTCAGTTTTCCCTCTTTTGCTGTCACTTTAACTTTTCCACCTGCCAAATACCCAAGAATTGGTTTATAACAGCAATTCAGAAGTGATCTGTCAAATTATTAATGGGTGATAGGTCTCACTGCTATGACACTGTTAACTGAGTACGAGTTTCTGAAGAAGCTCTCAAAGCTTTCAGCATCAAAATCCACCAGAACAAAGAAAATGCTGTGCCCACTACAGGAAGAAATCATTTGAAGGACCTTTGGGTGGTCACTGTAACTCTGACTTAAAAACAGCTCTTACTGGTCTTACTGGCAATTGGTTACTGGTACTGGACAGAGAAATGAGCTCTAGACACAGCCTACTCAGGTGAAGCCCTCAATGGAGAAAAAGATGTGGGGTGTTTTTGATTTCTGATGATTCCTGACAGTAGAGTATTGAGGTAGCACTTACTGATCACTTCCAAGACATGATCTCCTATCATGACAGCTGCTAGCCTTATGAAACCCTGCTGTCCTCTACCCTTCTCATATGCAGTGAGATGCTTTCCCTTTGTCAGCATCTCACTTTGTCCCTCCACGTCAACCACCTTGCAGCACAATCTTTTGCCTCTTTGTCGTGCTGTCACCCTTTGTACCAGACAAAGCTGGTAGAGCAGGTCTATGATTTGCCGTTTGGCTATGTTTGGTCACGGCTTCTTTGCATATGTGAGAGGCAAAGCACTGTGCCGCTGTCTGAAGGCTTTCCACAAAGCTGAGCAGTGCTCTGACACACCATGGGTCTCACATCAGGGTTTCACTGCCTTCAGAGCTGCTGGAGGAGCTGGCCACACTTAGTTTGAGAACACAGTAGGAAGGCCTGTGAGGCCAGATATGTGCAGCCTCCTTAGGGACAGGCATTGGCACAGGACCTGCCCAGCAGGCATCTTTCTGAGGTCCACATCCACCCATGTCATCACTGCATCTAAACAGAAGCTCTGGCTTTCTGGAGCCTGCAGCTGGGCAGTTCTGCAGGAGAAAGTATGTATTAACCCTATGCAAAATGTATATTTATGTGACAATAGCCACAATGGCAGCCATGGGAGACCGTACTCTGCCCCATTGGTCCTACCGACATTGCTCCCTTCAGCAATGCAGGGATGGCTTTGTATAAGATGTGCCAGCCTTGCGTATGGAGTGGTGTGCTCCTACATGGCTTACCTGCAAAAGTCCGGTGGCAGCTTTTGCCCTTGCAATGTGCACCTTCCCACCGTGCAGTGTGGAGACTGCTTGGCTGATGTAGACTGTTCTTGTGGTGGGTGGTGCAGTATTGTGGAGGTATTGCCTTGACTAGAGGTAGTGAAGGAACATGAGTAATTCAGTGTGTGATGCAGACATGCCGCAAAGGCCCCTCCATCTCCCTAAGTCTGGTGGCCCACAATAGAGGCAGGCAGTGTTTCTTATCTACACCTGAAATGTCATCAGGTGCCTGAGATGTTCTAGTGGTAGGAACTGATGTCCTGAGGTGCTGCACTCAGTCAAGAGCCAGGGACAGAGCACCCATTTCCCATCCATAGAGCTTTGAAGAAGTCTGTGCATGGCCCTCTGCTCAGGGCAGCTGGCCATTGCCTAGGATCATTATAGAGCTGTGGTCACATGCTGCTGCCAGGTGGGGTTCAGGTAAGGTGTCCCTGACTTGAGGTGACTGACAGGTGATCGCAGCTATCTGTTTTTCCTGTGTCCTGCCCAGAATGACCTTTCTGTGCCTTTACTGGAGGAGGATCTGGATGGCTCCTCGGGACTCCTGTTTCCGTTCTATGACTCAGACACACACATGCTTTATGTGGTGGGAAAGGTAAGTGCTTTCCATGTCAGCAAATGCTGGCCTGTCTGATTCTTCTCCCGAATGTCTTACATCAGGCTGAAGTCAAAGATGCTCCTGAAGCACGTTAACCTAAGGATATGGGCTGATGGGATGGGGCCTGAGGGTGCTGCAGCATCAGGCTACGTTTGCCACTGCAGGCGTACCACGTTTACTGTGGGGAGGTTACTGCAGAGCCCTAACCTTCCCACATTAGAATTTTCGGGTGAATATTTGGTTCATTCTTGACCCTGCATGGCTTCTGGGGCCAGGCATTCTTCTCAGACCCTCATGCTGAACAGCAGAACCTGGCTTATGTTCATTTTCTTTGCCTTTAGGGTGATGGAAATATACGGTACTATGAGATAAGCCCTGAGAAACCATACCTGAACTACTTGATGGAATATCGTTCTCCTTTACCACAGAAGGGAATTGGTGAGTGGCAGCATATGTCTAACATTACAAGAGGATGGTAGCTTCTTTGTTTTAGAGGCTGTCAGAGTCCAGGACTATCCAAAATATCATTTAGAAAAGAGAGTGGGTCAGATTCCAGTCTCTACCCAGGTTTACAGGTGCACAACAGTCAGCTTGGCCCAGCTCACCTATATATCACAGGTGGTATTACAGGGTCACAGCTTGGAGAGGTCCCTTCTGACCAGCAGAGCATGGGCCTGGCAGCTTTACCAGTCACTGCTGCATCCTCTCTCACATACCTGGTCAAGGTTGAAGGGAGGATAGTCTGGATTTAAAGGTGAAGGATGCTCCTTGCCCTTTGTGAATCTGCTCTAAGATTGTTGGCATTGAACTCTGTTGACATTGTTTCCACTCTGGTATTTCTCTGGTAATGGGTGCTCAGCATCTTAATGCCTTCGCTATTATTGCTTGCCTACCTTCTCCTGTACTGGCATTTCCCATTTAGAGATAGACCTGCTGTGATTAGGTCACCGCTCCTCCATTGGACACCCTTGCTTGTTAGCCTGTCCGCATACTACCCACTGTTTAACTCATTCAGGCTACACAATTTGGCTTTCAGCCCTCAGACCCTATTGGTAGCCCTTTCTTGAACCTTCTCCAGTCTACCCTGTAAGCCATATTCCTCTATAGACCGACATGTTTTTAGGACCATTTGCCACCCCTCCGTACTACCTGTGGACACTCCCGTTCTTCCAGGACATTCGTACAGATATTTAGCAGCACTGGATTTTGTGCCTGCAGGTCTCCTTCAAAAAACTGTTATTGGAAAGGAATAAATGATTTAAAACTTAACTGGAAGATCTCTCTGTTATTCAGCTTTTATAATCCTTCCAATGATTTTATGTTGTCATAGTCTCTTTAAAAATCATTCCATGAAAAGGAAGTGTACAAGTGTGTTTAAAAGGCCTGAGTGAATCCAGTCTACTTCCCTAACCTGATCTGTTCTGCTGATCAAACATGCTGCTAAGGTTATTGCACAAAAGCTTCTTTCCCAGTATTGCCAAAACAAAATACAATGCAGAGGAGTGGAGTTCAGATTCGCATTTAGATGAATGCATAATGTAAGGAGGAACAGTCCTTCACATAGAATCTACTGTTTAATGAAGTCATTTGGTATTAGTAGAAAACAAAGCTTCTGTAGGACACCATGAAGCAAGGTCTACAAGGAGAAGCAATTTCTTTTGTTAAGGGAATTTACATGGTTGTAGGCTTTGGACTGTACAAGCTCATGGGAGAGAAATCCACTGAGGTTACCAGGTACTTGGAGACCTTGTGTGGCTTAGCCAGTCCTTGAACCACAAATAGTGCTGTCTGACAGAGTAGATGTTCACACCCTTCTCATACTTCACTCTGCTTTGGGACAGTGTTGGGGGGGGATACTGGGCTGGAAGGGCTTTCAGCCTGACCCATATAGCTATTCTGGTGTTGTTTAGGTGTCCTGAAATCCCTTCCTGGTGATCCTGATTGATAGTCAAATCCTGTGGCATCACCTGCCAGTTCTGCTCAGTCCTGGTCACTCTATTTGCACCTCATGGGAGTGAATAAGGAACAGGAAGCTTAGCACGAAAAACACAAACTTGGTGTGTAACTCCGTGCTCTGACAGAAAAAAATTATTTAGTCTTGTTATTTGTGCCACTGAGCCAGTTTTGGGTGCAGATTTCAGACCATGCTGCTGTGGAGCTGATGCTGTGACTCCTTTTGTCGTTTGGTGACCCTTCTTCCATGGCAGATGACATTAACTTTCCTAGGGAGATTTATACCCCATTTGTTTCATGCTATCCCACCAGGAATGATGCCAAAGAGAGGCCTTGAAGTGTCAGCTTGTGAGATTTTCCGTTTCTACAAATTGATCCCAACTAAAAGCCTGATTGAGCCCATCTCCATGATTGTGCCTCGACGGGTAAGTTAACCTCAGGTCATGTTCGTGTCTGGGACAAATATCAGTGAAAGAGAGGGCAATGCCTCCTCTCTGTGACTCTCGGGGACAGGAGGGAAGGTGGAACAAGGGATTTTCTCTCTCCTGGTCTGAGGGACAAAGTTGGTCAGTTTGTGGGGCACCCCGTCAACAAACCCTGGCTGGGTAACTCAAGAGTTAGGTCTCTGTGTAATGGCTAACTTTCTGTGCCATGCTCACCGATCTGCTCTGCTTGGGTGCAACAAGGAGTCTCTCTGACTGTCAGATCAACTAGCTGGCTGTAAAATTCCTCAGTTGGTGACGTCTGTTTGACATAACAACAAACGAGAGAGAGGGGTTGGGGATGATGTTGAGTGACGTGAAAATCTCCTTGTGGAATGAAGAAGAATCACCCTGGGGAAAAGGGAACGATGGGTTCCCACGTCTCTACCCAGTGTGTGCAGGTATGTTACAGTTGTTCTCTAGCATGTAAGACATGACCCATTGCACTGAGAGTGATGTAGAAGTACCTCTCAGAGCTAGTGTGGCTAGAGAATGATGCAGGTCATGAATTTGTAGCTAGCCAAGGTAGCTCCCATTTGACCGTGTGAGCAAAGGTACATCATAAATGTCAGCACTGTGCCCTGTACTTGCAGCAACATTGGAAGGTATGAGTGCCTTGAATTCAAAGAGGCAGCAGAGCTAATGCTCGTTGCAACTACCAATCAGGCATGATCCTCCAACATTACCTCCTTGGCCAATTTCTGTCAGCTGATGATTTGTGACTTGTGTCCATCCTTTGTATCCACTTCTTCATCCTCAGGAACACTGAGTTCATGAGAGTTGGGTTAGTCTGTGTCACAAACCTCCCCCAGTCCATTGTTCCTTGCTGGCAAGAATTAAAATAGGCCTTCAGATGCAATTCTTCTGAGTTGGGGTGATGAGGAGAGAGGCTCAGGGCAGGTGAGAAGATTTTATGTCCATGTCGGTGAGCAGAGGAACACCTCTGTGCTGAGGTGGAACAAACTTCTTCACTGCAATTCAGTATGGTCCCTCTAAGCCAAAACCTCACTGACATAGTGACTCTGAACTTTTGTTTGCTTGCAGTCGGAGTCATACCAGGAAGACATCTACCCCTTGACCACAGGAGCCCAGCCAGCACTGACGGCACAAGAGTGGCTGAACGGAGTTAACAAAGGTCAGCACATGGAGAGCTCCCCAGCCCTTCAGCTCCCCAGGGCTTGGGTAAGCTGCCACTGGCTCTCTGGCCTGTTAACTGCCAGAGAAAGAGGAAAGGACGAAAAGGAGAGACATAACAAATATGTCTGTAAGCTAAAATAATTTGGTGGCTAAAATATTCACTGCTGTGAACTCTGGAAGCTGCTCCAGTCAAGTGCCTCCATGTTTATCCCTGCAGGCTGTTTGAATGAATCGCTTACAGCTGATTTCTGGGTGTGGTTTGTGAGTGCTAACCAGTCACCTGCCTCCTTCCCTAGGGCCGCTCTTGGTATCCTTGAGACCAGGCTCTGGAGCTGTGAATTCCTTACCACAGTTTCTTGAGCCAGAGCCACTCATGAAGACTACTGACCTGAACCAGCACCAGAGTCGGGGAGGAAGAATGCCACTGGACGACATGCAGAAGCCAAGTGAGATCAAAGACAGCAGAAAACAGCTGAACGTGGAGGAGAAATTGCCAAAAAATGAGCAAATGCGACTCTCCAATGGCTTTGACATATTTGAGTGTCCACCACCAAAAACTGAAAATGAGGTGTGAATGTCTGTGGTGAAGGGTTGGGGCTGCGGGGGGAAGCCCAGAGGGCTGGCAAAAGGATGCCATTCACAAGGTGATAGAATCTGGGGAGGGTTTATTTTGCAGAGCTGGGCCAGTGAGAGCTCTTCGTTCTTTGCAAGGGCAGAAGCTCTGCATGCCCTGGCTGCCACATGGGAAGCAGAGATGTGGTCCAGCAGCACCCCAGCTGAGGGGGTCTAGAAAGAAGGGAGCAATCATTATTCCCACTTCCTAGGCATTCTTGTAGCACAGGCCTGCCTGGTGGCAGGCTGGGGACAAGGAGGTCCTTGTGACCTCCAGGTTCTGGAGAAGAGAGGGAGGTTTACGCAGTGTAACCCTTCTATGAGAGCTGCACTCAGACAGCCCGGTGAGGCAGCAGGGCTGCCTTTGGAAGGAGTGGGTGTACCCTGCTCCCTTGGCCCATGGTGCATCTGTGTAGTCTTAAGCGCCTAACCATATTGTGGGCCCTGACATGGGAAAGTGGCTGGCTCTGCCTGCCTCGACAGCTCACTGTTGGGGGACAACTTGGCAGTGCAGTGCCATTGACGCTGGCTGCTAGTTGCAGCCTGCTCAAAGAGAAGTAAAAGGACTTGCCCAAGGTCAGAATAGGAGATGTGGCAGATCCAGGAGTTTAGACTCCAAATGCTCTCTGTGTCTAGGCTCTCTTTGAGTGATCAGTGGTATGAAGGTTATTTTTTCTGATCTTTTCCATTGAATTAAGCAGATGTAGCATTACTAAATGGTGCTGAGAAACACCCGCACTCATAGCCCAGGCTAGTGGACAGCAGGAGCGCTGCTGATGTTTGGTCTGTTGGTTGAAGGCCTCCTCTTTAGATGCTGCTCTTCAGAAGTGGTGTGACAGGACTGGTGGCATTTGACAGGTTAAGTCTGTATTTTCTTAGTGTAAAAGAAGTAAAATGTAACTTTTCTTACAGCTTTTGCAGATGTTTTACCGGCAACAGGAAGAAATCCGTAGACTACGTGAGCTGGTAAACCAGAGAGATGTCCAAATCAAACAGCTGGAGCTGGAGCTGAGAAACCTCTGCATGAACACAGGCAGTTACTGAGGGTGCTGGCCTGCAACTCTTTGTGCCCCTGGCAACTGGAGCAGACTCCAGTTCCTGCGGATAACTCCTCCTAGAGTTTTTGCTGGGGGAAAAATTGATGCTTCAGGCAGCATGGACTTCCCTGGCTTGTGGTGGTCACATTTCCCTAATCATCACCAGACAGTTATTGATGGACTTGCTATGCTTCTTCAGGCTCCACTTGCTTGCCCATTCACTCATGTCAGAAGCTCATGCATTAATGCTAGTGAGAGACTTTGGAAAATCTTGCCCTTCTGGTCCTGGAGAAGCCACCTGTTAAGCTCTAGGAACAACCTGTTTTGCTACCCCTCCATGACATGGGAGACTGAAGGCAGCTGCCTGCTTCTTTTCCCACCCTGGGATCTGGCAGTGCGGCTCCTGTGGCTGCTGTCCTCCTGCCCTGGGAGACCACCCTGCAGCTGAGCTTCAGAGGCACCTCTAGCTCCAAAGTGATCCTCATGCACCCCTCTCACCTCATGGCTCAGCCTTGCAGCTGGGTGGCTAGCCAAAACTGTGGCTGCCCTGACCTGGTGCTGGGGATAGTCCCGCTCTGAGCGGGAGGCTGCACTGGGGCTGCCAAGGGCCAGCACTTTTGTGATAGGTAAAGGAGAGCTGGTGTTTGGAGGTCCTACTTTAAAGGGGCAGTGGTATGGGCTGGTTCTCGCCAGAGAAGCTGCCGGTGCAGCAGAGGTCTCTGGGTCCTTTGAGTCAGTGGCCTTCTTTCCCTCCTTCTGCCAAAGACCAGCTGCAGTCAGCTGGGGGCTGTGGTCCTGTGCTGCTCATCAGACAAATGAAGACAACATTTAAAGCTGCACAGTGTTGGCAGCAGTGGGTTTGCCAAGAGGGCTGAGGGGGGAGTTGGACTCCCAGCCCACTGCAGACCTTTCAGCAATGGTGCTAGAAGTGTGGTTTCAACCATAGGAGGATCACAGGACCATGGCAGGTCACAGATAGCCCTCCCCAGTTGCTGGAGTATTGCTTGTCCTTGTGCCCGCAGCTGCTGCTTCCTTAGCTCCCAGGTGCCAGCACCTTGTCCCATGCCTGCAGCCACCTACAGCTGCAGGCTCCCTCTTCCCAGCTGTGTTGCCCAGCCCCCTGCATCCTCCAGGGCTGCCCAGTCTCCCCAAGCCCTGCAGCCACACTCATCTGTGCCCTTCAGCAGCAGCTCTCTGGCTCGCTGCCTTCGTCAGCTCTTTCCTTAGGGCAAGAACAGCTGCAGGATGCAGGTCCCATCCTTGGTTTCAGGGCGGGCACCTGTGACCAGCTTTATGCAGTCTGCCTGCAATGTGCAGAGCTGGGCCAGCGGCAGCACCGAGGGAATGCACAGACCTGCCTGCCTCATCAGGGCCTGGGGGGTCTCCTCTCATTTGTTCCCACAGTGTTGGGCAAGAGAGCGCACTGTCAGTTGCCCCGGGGTGTGACCACAGCAGCAGCACTGGAGGGGGAATGGTTTTCCTTGCCCCAAATGCAGAGCTTATGGAGACATCTTAAACTTAAGCAGAGCAAGCAGCCGCTGTTTAACCTGTAACTGTGCACCTCTGTTGTGACACATGTAGGAATGAATACTATGCCCTGCTAGTTCCCTGAAGCCTAATGATTTCCCACAGTCTTAAATAAATAAATAAATAAAACTCTGTAGTCAGAAATTCCCACAAACAGGACTCCTTAGCAAGGGGGACTAAAGGCTGTGCACTGCCTGTGCTCGTGTGAGATGCCCCTCTGGTTATCCCTGAAAGCAATAGCCAGCAGGGAGCTCATGGGCACTACTTTTATGTGAGAGTCACACAAAGACTTCAGCATCCCTTTTGCTGTGCTGCAAAGACTTCACCCAGCCTTCAAAAATATTTCATTCATTTCTAAATAGCAACAACAGATGTGGGTGCTAAAAAGTCACAAATATTGTTTCTTTTGCAGCATTACAGAGAGGGGGTAGTTGTTCATGTTCTTCAGGAAGAGTCCTTTAGCATCAGTCACTTATTTAACACTGCTCTACTCTTTTTGTAAAAAAAAAAATATTAATAACAAAGTTGTTGAAACAAACTTTAGCTCACTTCAGATCCTCCGTTCTAGGACTTTCCTGTACCCTGGGAACACTCTGCAGTATGCAGTTGTATGCAAAAGCAGCTTACCCCAGATACAGAGCTTTAATCCAAACTCATGAATCTTACACCAGAAGTGGTCAGGCTTTCTCACCAAAGAGAAGAGCTACATAAGAAATTGAGAAGCTCAGTTTTTCAGCCATGTCAAACAGGCCTGACAACTTCAAAGCCATTTTCACAGAGGTTAGCCCCAGGGATATGACACTCTGGTTTTCAAGCTCTCATTATCAGAAGGGAAAGCACTTGATACAGCCTCAGCAGTCCAGGGGATACGACTTTCCTTGTCACCACATGTGTTTTATTTGCTAGATTTTGTTTGCTTATTTTTCATACAGAATAAATTATTTAAATTATTTCCAAGTTAAAGTAATTTTTCCAGGGGATTTTTAAATCCTCTTGAGGACTGTTCCTTTGTTATCCTATGACTGGCTAGCATAGAAAATGGTCAGCCACAATGGTTCTTATCTTAAAGTTGTGTTGATTTCAGCATTTCTGGAAAAGAAGTTGCTTTCATTTAGGCTTTGCTGGCAACATTTGATAAGGCAAGACTATTTAATCAAAACTTCTTTTTTAGACAGTATGCCCGTAAAAGCGTAGACTGTGAAATGTATTTCAATTTGGAGCTTAAATGCAACCATAAGTCTTTCACACAGAGAAAAAAGTGGAGGAAATGGAGTTATGTGTTAATGAACTGTGCCTAAATAGACTTAAGTGATCATTTTAACAGTTTCTAAAACTCCTAGCAGCTTTGTAAAAAACTGTAAAACATGGGGATAAAAACCAAATTTGTGCAATGAAAAGCAAATGTAACTGAATAATAAATATATTTAGAGTTTTACTTTTTGATACAGGCAAGGTTGTTGGTGTCTTATTATCATTGTATTGTTGAAGCGACTAAAAATTAAGCTGAATCAAGGTTAGGAAGGAGTACCACCCGCTGTCTCTTCTGCTTGCATGAAGTTGTGGCCTTACATTAGTAGGGAGGTTGTACACAGTGTTATGCACATGGGGCTGTCTTCTTACATCTTTCCTGTCCACTCTTGATGCTACAAAGGAGTGGCCGTTTCCAACTGTTCTGCATTACACTGCTGTGTATGATGTCTTGAGTAAACCGAGCCTCCCTTGAGATGCATACCGTGTCGTGAGGTGTTTCCTGACCATGCTGCCTTGCAGTCCTGGTGCTTCTCTTGCCCAGTGCACTCTGAGGCTCTATCTGGTATTCCACATGAGGAGGGTTTAATGTGTTATTACCAAATTTACTTATGTTAAGACATTTGATGTTAGATGGGATTTTGGTTTAGCAGCGTGAAGCAGCAATTACAACACAAGCACAATATAGCAGCTGCAACATCCAGTTGGATCACAATACAAATGAAATTCCCAATACTGGTCTCTATATGCTCACCATCATGACGCTGGGTATCTCCAGTCACTGGGAAGAAATACGTGGGTTGAAGCCAGCCCAAGCCTGTAGCTCTCTGCAAAGTTCGTTTTGTTGGTTGCTCAGTTTTTACGCTTTATGTTGGGCTGAGCCCCGTGCTGGTCTGGCTGGCTCAGGAAGACATTCACACCTTTTGATTAACGCAGGCCACCCTACACAACCAGTTGATCACTCAACTGATATGGCAATTAATCTAAACCAAAAGCCACCCACGGATCCCTTTTCCATTGAGATAAATTCAGCTTTCTTTGCAACACCTGAGGTCGCTCCTTGTATTCTTCCCTGAGCATCATGAGTGCATTGCCTGTGCCCCTCTCCTCTGAGCCTCCTACTGTAGGGGTTTGTTGATCAGTCACAGCTTTGGGCATGGAAATGTTCACGGCTGCATTCAGAGTGTAACTTTTGTTTGACAAAACATTTTAGGCCAGTTTGAGGGAAAAAAAAAGGTGGAAGTTGCTGGAGAAAGTCTGTGCTGGGAACTTTGTGCACCAGCCATGCAATCAGGGCACTGTGACCTCCTGACCGCCCTGTCCTGTAAGGGACCTTGTGCTGGGGAGGGTGGCAGGACAGGCACTGTGTCCATCCTCTGGCACTGACACAGAGTCACTGCTGTGAGAAAAGCCTAGGAAAAGGCAGCAGCGGGCAGGTCGGTGTGGGAATAGCCTCCAGCACCTTTGTTGTCCTGGGGTTATGGCCACTGGACCACAAAGACAAGAGTGAAACACAGCCCTGCAGTGTTACTTGCCTGCTGGATTTAGAGCCACAACACATCACATCTTCACCCCCTACTCCAGGCCAGCTGCCAACTGCAAAATAAACTTCACTTAAACCTATGCAATAGTTGTAATTCTCATTTCGTATCCCACCCTGGCGCTCTGTTCCGCTGGTGTGCCCAAGGAGTTGTGAGCAGAAGCCAGCATGGAGCTGATGCCCCCTCATTCGCCCTGCAGGGAGAAGCAGCAAGTCACTCATGTTGGCCCTGGGCTGGCCACATCCATCCCTGGCAGCTGGGCGGCTGCAAGCTGCGGAGGGGCATAGGAGCAAAGCCCCAGTGCCAGGAATTGCCTCTTGGGCATGCTGCAGCACCATTTAGGAGCAGGATCTCAGAGCCTGTGCTGGGGTCACTCTAGTCTGTCCACAACTTGCTCATACTGTGCAGCGCAGAACTGGACTCGGCACTCCTCCACATGCGGCCTCAGCAGCACTGAGGGGAGAGGAAGAATGACTTCCCTTGACCCGCTGACAATGCTCTTTTAAATACAGCCCAAGATACTGTTGGCCATTTTTGTAGTGAGCCAGCATTGCTGGCTCAAGCTCAGCTTGTTGTCCAGCAGGATCCCAAGGAACTTCTCAGCAAAGCTGCTTGCTAGCTGCGCAGTCCCCAGTGTGTACCAGTGCATGGGGCTACTCCTCCCCAGATGCAGGACTGTGCAGTTGCCCTT